GCAGTAGAGGGTTTATTTGTATTTATACGAGACGGCGGTGCCTGTGCTTTTTCCCCTCCTGTGCGTGAATATAGATGTATTGTTTGGAGGCAATTGAGGTCAAGCATTATGTGCATGGTGGGATTTTTGTTGTGTATCTTGATTACGTTGCCCTCGGGGAGAGAAGCCCTTTATAAGCAATGAGCGCAAATTTATTTCTGAGCACTAACCAACTCTTCATTTGTATGAAGAGCTATGCGTATCATTCAGGGGCCATCGATTGGAGCCTTTCAATTGGCACTTAAATGAAAACTTGCAATGTTTATGAATAACCCATCTGCAAATTGATGGTCTGCCAAAATGATTAATAGGCTAGGGATTGATTGCCTGTTGCATAAAACAATTAGTCTGGCATTACTCTCAACAGGTTTCTCACCAGAACAGACACTCAATATTTATCAACACGGCACAGCAGGAGCTCAGCCTGAGTGGCTCTCTTGAGATGGTACAGAGAACATACCCACTAGATGTAGTTTTATTCCGTCTTCTAATGCCCCATCTGCATCTAATATACACCATCCCCCAACAGAACGCTCTGTCTCTTGCTGACAAGCCTTTTGGGAGAGAATTGAGCCGAATTGCTTGCTTGTTTACTCAAGTTCTGCCGGTTCCTCTTCTCAGGAGACTGGTGTGTTTTTGTGAGCGTCTAATGCTGAATCTAAGGACTCGGGCTTGAATGGGCTTACGCAACCCATGCGGAGATTTAGACGCAACTGTTTGGAGATGTGAGGGTGTGGTGGCAGACTTTCCCGTCAGATTCCATGTAACCTTTTTCTGATCTCCACTACACGAGTCCTGCATGCCATAGGCTTTCTTGGGAGGAAAGATACAGTCTTATCTCTCGAGCTATTCGCTGAGCCTGTTCGGTTTCCTCTAATCTTCTTTTGGCATCAGCACCATGCGTTGCCCTCGTTCAGAGGGCACTGGCTACACCTCTCGCAGTTGTATAACATCCCATTGCCAATATTTACACAGGCTCAGCATTGTGTATAACAGTGCTCTGTGATACGGCAAGGCAGTGTGTGTGTGGGGTGACGTGCACACATCCTGCTGGTCATCCTTTATCCTTCATCAGTAGTACCAGATTTATTGCATGTATGTGTGTTTGATCAATGTCTGTTGTTTTGGCTGCTGCCTTTTAGAAGGCTTTTACACAAGAATGTAATCTTTACAGTAGTCAAATGCAGCACGCCTCCTAAATTCAAAGGAGACATTTAATTTCCTGTTGTTTGTGGTATCACGTCTCATGGATTCTGCATCCAGATTTGCATCTGATCTCCAGAGATCTTGGATGCCTGAACACTCTACACTGATCAGTGCTAGTATGTCACAATAACAACATATATGCCTATTGATTATATTATGCTTACCAAGGCTGCATTTATTTGATCAAAAATACAGTAAAAAAAACAGTAATGTTATGAAATATTATTGCAATTTGAAATAACTGTTTTCTATTTAGATACGTTTTAGTGTAATTTATTCCTGTGATGGCAAAGCTGAATTTTTAGCAGTAATTACTCTAGTCTTCAGTGTCACATGATCCTTCAGAAATCATAACAAACTGATTTGGTGCTCAAGAAACATTTCTTATCAATGTTAAAAAAAAAGTTGTGCTGCTTAATATTTTCGTGTAAACTATGGTCTTTTTTCCCAAGAGGTTCAAAAGAACATAATTTATTCTAAATAGAATTGCTTTTGTAAGTTTCTTCATGTCACTTTTGATCAGTTATATCCTTGCTGATTGGAGGTGTTAATTTACTGTAAAATCCTACTGACTTTAAACTTTTGAATAGTCTAAGTTAAGTAGTCTTTCTATGTGAAGACCGGTGTGAGGTTTAATTTTTTTTAGATTGATTTTTTGATTGATTTGGTCTTAATTTGTATTTGGTTTTAATTTGTATATATATATATATATGTTTATGACCCTGGAGCACAAAGCCAGTCTTAAGTCGCTGGGGTATATTTGTAGCAATAGCCAAAAATACATTGT